ATGTTAATTTAGTAACTTTTTGGCTATTTGGCTAAAATATGAGCTAAAAAAAACTAGTATGTTTGGGATGACTTTTTGACATTTTATGAAAAGATGTGCAAAAAGTGGAGAGAAAAGAGAATCTTTGACTTTGTGGTATGGGTTGTTAGCTTTTTGGCTAATTTAATAACTTTTTGGCTTAGTTCGGTTGCCAAACGAGGCCTTAGTCCCTTCCTCCCGCCTCCCGCCCCCAGTGCGGTGCCCCTAGGGAATCTATGACTACACATTTATACGGTTCTCGAGTGAGTTATGACTGCGACTGCATTATAGTGAAAACTTATTAGGATTGACTTTTATTCCTTCTTATTTTGATGTAATAAGTGATTTAACTTTAACACAAGGCAACACAAAGATGTCAAGAAGGTCAAGAAGAATGTGGCTTGAATTGATGAGGAACTAAGCAAGGGCCTATAAAACAATGGAGAATCTAGCTCTTGATAGAGCTTATAGACATAAATGGTGAATGGATTTGTGTGCACAACCCCAACAACATATACAAACTTCATTTAATTTGGTTGAATATCTAATTCTTTCATGCAAACATTTGTCCCAATACCAACAGTTTCCAACGTCATTTTTCCAACTGTACCTGGAATACTAAAGAACATTCATTAATCCAGGTATTTAAAAGATGAAAATACATCAAAGTAAATGAAGGACCAAAGCAAAGGGTCAACTAATAAGCTCACCAATCCTTATCAAGTGATATCTCTGAATAGCTATAGTAAATGAATTTTTACATTGTTAATAGATATAGTTTGCTTGAAATAGTTCTCAAAATTAAATTCACAATACTTTAGCGTTGCTTGATCTAAGAAAATGATGATTACTTCTCAGCAATCCTTCATGTGTTGCACAGAGTTGTGATCTCTTAGAACTACAAGAACAAAACAAAATGCCTAAAGAACACATAGAACGTAACACTGTAATGCCAATGTTCAAAGAAAAAAGAAGCTTGCCCTCTGAAACAAACTGGACTGGACCTAGACATGTCCATCTCTTACTAGATTAAGAACAAGAAAGGGCAAGACCATGGCATATGCTTAACAAGCTGACATGATAAGTTTACACACATCCTCATTTTTTATGTGACTAATTTAGTAGTCATCCAAGACATAAATACCCAATGAAAACATTTTAAAATGAAACTTAAATCATATCAGAGATACTGTAACATAAATTTTTTATATTAAAAAGAATTTTCTAGTCCCTCTACTATTTTTCAAAGTGTATTCAAGTCAACAAAAAGATTTTAAAGAAAATGTATTTGGCTGATAAATATTATCAGTATACATTTAATCAAAAGAACTGCTATTTGCTTGTTCTATGATACACTATATGTATCAAAGATATGATGAATATGTATTCTGCTATACTCTTTAAAACTTATATACACAGAAGAAAAAAAATGGTCTACGACTATCTCAAAAAATCATATGAAAGGAAACACAGATTAAGATTCTTTTTGTTTTTGTTGATGTGGCACATACCCAAAGACATGAAAACTCCTATTATTATCCTAAGATATGATAAAGATCTTCCTCAAATATTTACCTACAGTCACCAAAAATAGAAGAAGCCTCTTCAATAAATTGATGAAGCTTATGAGGAGGAACATAGAATATCTGCGTTTCTACTTCCTTTGCAGATACAATCAACCTCTCCTTCCTTGATCCGGCATGTTTGGGCAGAAATCCAACTACAGACAACCAACAATACATATGATATTAGCTACTAGCCTACCACTATCACCAAATTGTTGCCAACACTAAGGGTGTCGAATTCATGAGCAACTTACCAAATGTAAACTTGTCAGTAGCCAAACCTGAGGCAGAAAGTGCAGCAACAAAAGCAGACGGACCAGGGATAGGAATAACAGGAATATTTTCATCCACACATAACTTAACCTGCATCAAGTTTCCAAAATACATTGTTTATGTCCATATCAATTAATTAACCCATGAAGCATCCAATTAAACTGTCATCTTCGACTAAAATCTGAGTTCCTTTCAAACCTTTAGAGGACACATTACAAATTAAAGTTAGCAATATTTTTGAATTTACAATTTTAAGGTCATATTATTGCAAAAAGATCATTTAAAAAACCATTAGAATGAAAATTGTGATTGTTTCTGGGATCCCACATCTTAAGAGATTTGGTTTATTCAAAAGGAGAATTACATGCTTTCAATCTATGTGAACTAGAGAAAATACCAAATTGATTGTCAGTTATCACAATATAAAATTTAGTAAACCAAAATAAAAGAAGAAAATAAATTAAAGTGTACGAGTGTGAAATTACAAACAGTCGTCTTCCCCTGCTATATTTGTGCGCTATATTAGCAGACTAGGGTGACCAAATCAGTCGAACAATCAAACATCACCAAAAAAAATAAAAAAAATTACATCAACAAAGAGTATAGGATTAATGTGTGCGGAATGTAGTTGTTGGCTACATATTTTGTACAAGCCAATTATAATTCGACGCGTGGCGAAATAAAGGTAATATAGGAAGACTATTCAGGTCCTCGATCCTGATCGTACACGTGGCAGTTAGTATTGGTTATTAAGAAACCTGAGTAGCAGCGGATCAACAAAGAGATACAAAGTGACGTGGCCTCAACGGTTACTCGCATTTCAGATTCAAATTTAGGAAGGAAGCTTAATTGCAAGTAATGGCGTAATGGAGCTAATATTGGGGCAAAATGATCGATGATCATGGAGGAGCAGTTCGACGGTTGGAAATGCAATTCGATGGTCATCCTGGAGCAATATAAATAGTAGAGAAGGCCCCAGAAAAAGCCCCCCAGACTCAGATCCAAAAAATCAGTCCTTTATACTTATTTTCCTTTCCAACTTTACATTTACAGTTTTTTTTTTACATTTACAGTTCTTTACATTACTGTACTTTAAAATTCCTGCACTGCACTTCGTTTCATAGGAATAGTTCCAAGTAGAGTTGCTGTAAACCTTTACAAGGCTGAGTTTGGATCATTGTAAGTCTTTTCATCTTAATGAAATACTTCGACTGTTTTGCAATTCATTATTATCTGTTTAATTCTCCAAAATCAAGCCACCAGTAAAAGTCCTATTCATTGAGGCTGAAAGAACTAAAACACAATCGTCTGATAATTGGTTGACAATTAATTTTCTGTAAGGACTAATTGATCCTTACTGGCATGCTCGCAATTACAACAATAACCTTCGGAAGCCAAAAAGCCAACATATATTTTTGGCACGCCCAGTGGGACTACATTTAAAATAGCTAGACGTAAAAGACAAGGAGAAAATGAACGCTTTGAAGAAGGCGTGGAAGGAGAGGTAGAGATACCTAATCCAGAGGATAATGTGATAACACATCCTGTGAAAACTCCCATTTTATCAGAACAGATGGTTGAACAGATCAGTACTTCAGAACAAATACCACATGTTCGTAATATTGGACGAGACCAAGGAATTGGACCATCTACTGTCCCATCTCCTCAGCCAATGAATCCATGGGGAGGCTTAATAGATGCAATGGGACAGCAATTAATGAACACAATGGAAAGGTGGGCAACATCCTTTTTGGATCGAATGAATAACCACCAACTAACAAACGTAAGACACATGGAGGAAATTTCGAATGTCCCTCAACAAAGATTAGCTAGAGATAAACAGCCTATGCAAGTTAATGGACATTCTAATGGTCAAACTAGTAATCAGAACCATAAAAGACCATCACCTCAGTCTTGGTACGAACCTGTTCCAAGGCCTATAGTAGGTCAAAATGTCTCAGTACTTAACAGTGAAGCCATGCAATTTGGTGGAACTGGTCCAGTACAAGAAAATAGCATAAGAATGGTTCCAAATCCCATGTTCGAAGCCATACCTGGCACAAGGGGGTTCACGAATCCCTTATTCGAATTTATACCCGGGGGTTGGAAAGTTTTCCTACAAATGGAAGAGACACAACAACAGTTCCAACACCTTTCGCTGGTCCTTTTGTAGGACAAATTCAAAGGGGTTACCCACACCCCCAACAGCAACCTGCACCACAAGGACAACCAGTCCCAAACATGCCACCTTATGGACCAAGAGGACCACAAGCACAAGTTTGTCCACCAAATCCTGTGTTTGTTCCTTCGACGGTGATTCAGTAGGCACAAAATATGGTCCCTAGGGACCAAATTGCTGACATCATTAGGGAGATGTGTGGACCAATGGCTCGGGGGGTCCAGACTCCTGTATACAGAAAACTATACCCAGAATGGGTAGATAGGGTACATGAATACCCAAGAGGCTTCAGGATACCAGATTTCGCCCTTTTTTATGGGAATGGAAACCAGTCAACAGTAGAGCACATCGCTAGGTTCGCTGCTCAATGCGGTGAATTCACTAATAATGATTATATGAAGCTAAGACTGTTCCCAAACTCTCTAACTGGGGGAGCATTTGTATGGTACATTAACTTTACACCTGGCTCAATCCAAACTTGGCAACAAATGGAAGAGGCATTTCATGCCCAATTCTTCCAATCGGAGCCAGAGGTTTCCATGGCAGACCTGGCAAGGTTGAGTTAAAGGCCTGAAGAAAAGGCTACTCAGTTTATTGCCAGATTTAAAAGGGCTCGAAATAAATGTAGAATCATTTTGCCAGAGCCAGAATTCGTAAGATTGGCTCAAAATGGTTTAAAGTTTAGGCTTCGAAAGAAGTTTGACTCAACAGAATTCAGGGACTTAATGGAACTGACTTACAAAGTATCTAGATATGCAACATTCCTAGAAGAGGAGCAAGATCGAAATAATGCATCATACAAGACATACTACAAAGATCCTAACTATGAGATTGATGCAGCAGAGATTGTGGGGAAAGAACCTGTGATCTGTGAAGCATTGATTCATAAGGATACAACAATTGACCAGCAGTTTAAAAAGAAAGACCTTCACAGGAAATACTCTTTCGATTTAACTAAGGCAGATGACATCTTTGATCATTTGCTTGCGGCCAATTTCCTTAAGCTACCAAAAGGGGTTAAAATTCCATCTCTTGATGAACTTAAAGGGAATATATATTGTAAATGGCATAATTCTTGGTCTCACTCGACTAAAAACTGTGTTGTTTTTCGAGACAGGATCCAAGAACAAATTCGGAAAGAGAGTTTGAAATTCCCAGCCAAAGCTGAAAAGGCCATGAGGATCGACAGTAATCCATTTTCAGAAATGGGAGAGGTGGCAGCCAATGTCATTATGCCAGATTTTCAGAACCTGTCTTTGAAAGAATTGGAAGAAGTCAATGTGCAGATGCATGTGGCCAACCAAACAGCAATCAAGAAAGACACTGGAAATCTGCCGGCTATTGGACAAGGTTTCTCGCACCAGAGGGAAGACTCTGAGGAAGAAGCACTGGATGACGATTCCTTAGAAGCAGCTGTAATGCAGAGGATGTGTCCTAAGTGCAGACTAAGCTACAAATGGTTGAAAGGACTCCCGATTGATGGGAAGCAATACTACAAGGATGTGCAAAAACGTCCTAAACCAACCAATGCTTACAATAAAAGGCCATATCCATCTGGCGTCAGGCAGCAGCCATTGAGGGATGAACCAACAGTTGACATGATGCATTTCAAAGGCAAGAAGCCTTTACATGAATCCAGGCCAGCTAATTATTACAGAATGGGGAGCAGTCATTCTGGGAGGAGGTTGGAGAAAAGTTCAGCTTATGGGATTAAAGCCAGAGATTGGTCCCCTAGACCAGCCTCACTCAAGGTAGAAAGTGGACACCTTCATCGAAGGCCGGAGCAAGGCCCAAAGCATGAAGTCAGGATCAAGCAGTGGCCATCGCAGCTAGCTTCGAGGAAGGTTTTGAAGGAAGAAGGAAGTAGTTCAACGGCAGAGTCAGTAGGTTCGTGGGTACCTAGGGTCCCAGATTGGTTCGTAATGCAAAACAAACCTAGGGAGGTGTCTACCCAGAGAGAGGTTGCTGGAAACCAAGTTAGGATGGTCAAACCTCCTGCGGTGGCTCCAAACAATTGGGTCTTGCTTAAGCACCCAAAAACAAAGAAACCAGATATGGTCCCCGTGATTTCTAGATCACAAAGGAGAAAAATTCAGCGTAGGTACACTCAGTACCAGCGAAACCTGAAGAGAAAGAAAAGAAGGATCCAAAGTCAAACTATACTCCAAAACCAACTCTACAAGGCAAAATGGGTTACAGCAGAGAACAGTTGGCCAAAGTTTACTCTGAACTAAAAGCCAGAGAGAAATCCAGTTTAGCGGGATTGGAAAGGACATTGATAGAAAGTGACAGCGAGGCAGAGACGGAAGTTGGCTTAGGCCAAAAGAAAGAAATGGTTGAGGAAGAAATGTTCGAACCCTTCATGGCTGAACAAACATTTCTGGCCGAAAAACCAGTCGTGACAGACCATTCAAAGGATGAGGTACTAGAGAACAGCATGGAGGATGCTTTTGGAGTGCCTGAACAAGGTGGCCAAAAGGAGAAGCAGACACAGCCAGTTATCCAATTTGGCTCAGTGTCAGTGAACATGGTACAAATACTACCGCATGAATTCCAAGCTGGAGATGAGAATCAAGAGGGGCAAGAAATTGACCCAATTCCAATCTCTAGTGAAGACTCACAAGTGAGTATGGTACAAGATAATTTCAGAATGGTCAACCCAATGGAAACTGAATATGAGAGTGAGGAAGTGATAAGTATTAACCTCTCGTATCCTTTTGAGTATCCCTCGAATTCTATGATACAACATGTTAAGCCTTTGTATATTAAGGCCTTCTTCGATGGGATACAGTTGAACCGAGTCTTAGTGGACAATGGGACAGCGATAAACTTACTACCGAAATCTTCTTTGAAGAAACTAGGGAAGAGGAATCCCAGGTTAGTCCCAACCAGTACAACCATTACTGGTTTT